GACACATATATGTATGCATGCATATGTGTACATACGTGTGTGCCTATATATGAGTGTGCATGCATGTGCATATATGTACGTGTGTGTATGTGTGATATATATATATATAAATAAAATGGCTAATGGTTTAATTTGCCTTAGGGCAGGTGTAGTAGGTAGTGAAAGAGAGAGAAAGAGGAGAGGAAAGAGAGAGAGATCTCATCCCCGGGAGATGATCATGCCACAAACTCAGCTCCTCTGTCCTGTCGGACTTTGGGCACACACGTACCTGGCACATGTGGGCAGCCACTGGGGCCAGGGCCTGAGCTGCTCTCAGCCACACGGGGCCCGGCTTCCTTAGCAAGCGCTCAGGCCCGGCCCACCTGGTGGTAGTTCCTGCTGTACTGTCATCTAGAGTTGTCGGCACGGTAGAACGTGTTTCACGATTTTGGAAAATGTGGCAAAACTTTTGTTAGTAATTATCTATATTTTTATTTAGGAATTTAAAAAAATAATTATTTTATTTAACTTTGTTTATTTATTTTCATTTGACCAGAGAGGGATGGAGCAAGAGAGAGAGAGAGAGGGAAAGTGAGAAAGCAACTGCCAGGTCCAGGACTTGAACTGTGGTCGGCATGTGGGAGTCTAGCGCCTCAACCACCGCCCCACCTGCTGGGCCCAGGAATATAGTTTTTGACTATTGCTTCGAAATTTGACCGAAACCAGACTTTATTTTGCTCCTCCTTTTGTTATAGGCTGTGTGCAGTTGCCAGAGAGAGACAGACAGAGCGAGCGAGTGAGCGAGAGAGTGAGCAAGCAAGGAAGTGAGGAATCACCCTCCCTCCCCCCCGGCCAGGGGGCATGGCCGCAATTCAGTCCCTCCTCCAGTCTCCTCCTGGGATTTTGGTGACACAGGCACATGTGCCCGGCATGATTCTCAAGCTTCTAGGTCCAGGACTCGAGCTGTGCAGGCAGCCAGGTGGGGTCTAACCTCAATCTCCACATCACCTGCTGGCCTGAAGCCTGGTTTGTATGACTGTGGCCTTGTGGTGTTTTTAGCTGCTTTCATAAGGTTTGTTCTGGGCGTTGTCACAGCTGTCACTGTTGGGGGTGGCACACATCAACTGTGTCCTGTTGATGACCAGTGGCCTCGTGCCCTGCAGAAGGGGGAGGAGAGCTGCTGGCCTGTGGAGGAGCAGGCAGGTCGCCAAGGGTCCTGTCATGGCCAGCCCCACTAGCCCTGAGGGTGTCCTTGGGGAGGGTGGCCCTGAGGGGCTGTGCTGGCACCTCCCACGCGGTGTCTCCTGCTGAGGAGGAGCAGTTCCATCAAAGCCCTGCTCTGTTGGGTGGGGGTCCTTGTCACACGTTTTGATCCCTGAAAGGTCAGAAGCCGTCTCTGTCCAGCCGTTCTCGGGACACTCGTCTCTAGTTACAAGTATCTGAATTCTGTAAGCTCTGTTGTCTGGGTCTGGACAGAGTCTGTTTAAAAACCAGGCCTGGGGGTGACCAGAAGTTAGCGTCATGGCTGTTGCTGGACTCCCACGTAGTCGATGGCGGTTTGAGTCCTGGATGCGGTGCCTTAAACTCACGCTGGGCGTGTGTGTGCGCGTGCCCAAGATCCCAAGAGGAGAATGGAGGAGAAGGGATTGCGGTGTGGCCATCCCCCCTGGGGGGTGATTTCTCACTTTTTGTCTCTCTGCCTGTCTCTGTTTTCCTGGCAAGCGCAAAAACCTAAAGCAAGAAACAAACAAACAAACAAACAAACAAACAACACCAGGCCTGGGGGCTAGCCGCTGGCATGGTGGTTTAGGCACTGGGCTCCCTCATGGCTGACTGAGGTTCGAGTCCCAGACCTGGTGACTTGCTTTCTCACTTTCTCTCTCTCTGGTGAACGTACTCTATAATTAGATAATAATAATAAGTTTTTTTTTTGAGAGATTTTTTGCTATAGGGTGCATATACTCACCAGAGAGACAGAGACAGTGAGGAATCAGCAACCAGGGGGAATAGTCATGCAACAATCTTTTCTCCATTCTCCTCTTGAGATTTTTGGGTATGTATGCACATGCCTGGCAGGAGTGTCAAGCCACCAGTTGGAGACCTGAACCTAAGCCAACCATGTGGTCCAAGACAGTGAGCCTCTCTGTAGAGCACGGCTGGCCATACGTGCAGGAGCAGCAGCTCGACCTGCAACTAGGAGAACATGGCAGAAGGCGTGGCCAGCCGTGGCTACCTACAGAGGAACAAAGCTGCGTCTGGGGACCGTGACAGGCCGTGACGCTGGACTGGGACCAGAGGACACGGGCAGGCTACACTGCACCTCCACGCGGGGCAGCCTGCCAGTGCCCTGCCCCACCTGCATGGAGCTAACCCGGCCACACATGCCCGGGACACAGCAGCCCACCCAGCTGGCAGCACCTGTGAGCAGCCTGGTTTCTTCTGTCCTTTTTTAAATTTTTTAAGAATTACTCATTTGGGACCCAGCAGGTGGCATAGTGGTTAAGGTGCTGGACTCCCACATGGTCGACCACCATTCAAGTCCGAGGCCCAGTGGCTTGAGACAAACCAGGTGCATGTGTGTGTGCCGCCCCAAATCCCGGGAGGAATGGAGAAGAGACTGCAGTGACCAGCCCCCTTGGGGCGATTTCTCATTTTCTCTCTCTGTATTTCCAACAAGCACATGAGCCCTACAGCAAAAATCTCTCCCTAAAAAAACCAGAATGATTTACTTCGTAGGCCTGTCTAGACTCTCAGAGCTTGGAGGCCGAGCAGCGAAGTGAGGAGGTGAAAGGAAACAGAGAAAGAGAAAAAAGAAACAACAACAAATTATTTATTTATTTATTTTAAAACTCAGCTTTCATGGCGGACTCTGTCTTCTGAAGGCCTGCCCTTTTTGCGTCTCCTAAATGGGAGGGGTGAAAAGGGAGGGGATTGTTAACAAGATAAAGGAGGGTTTCTGAGCCAAGAAAAGACTTTAACTTAAAAAGTTAAAAATAAAAATGAGAAGACAGAGACACGGCCAGGTCGTGGGTGTGCGCCTGGGTGCCAGGTGGACAGGGGACATCCCCGACACGCGCCTGGAAGCTTCTTACGAGGGTCAGCCCGCAGAGGCCCTTCCCCACGGCACCGCCACCTGGCCCCGCAGATTTCACCACAGGACCGCGGCTCTGCCTGCTCGTGCCCGCCCAGGCTCAGGAGCTAGCCGGGGGCCGCGGGAGCCCGAGGGCCGCCTTGCTGTTTGTGCCAGGCTCGCTGCGGAGATGGTCCTTCTGCATCGCTGCGTCACCGAAGGCTGGAGGGGCTGACACCCTCCTACTGAGCAGTCGGTCCTCCTCCCTGCAAGCTGACAGGGAATGGAGGGAAGAGGGAGAGAAGGTTTAACTTCGCTGAGGGACTTCGAGGGACCAGACTGCAGGGTATTGTGTAGAGACGGGTTCCAGGTCCCAGAAGCCAGCGGCCTGCAGTCCCCGACCCGGCACCCCTCTCGCTGCCTGAGACCCCAGGGCGTCTTGTGTTGCGGCCCCCGGCTCTTCCCCTGTGACCACCTGGTCCTGGGCTCTTCCTGAGCAGCTCTTGCTGTGAGCGCCATGGAGCGCCGTCGGACTGCCCATCTCCCAGGCGCTGCTTGGTGGGTGACTGTCTGATGAAGCCATGGACCGGGGTGCCTAGTGAGGCGGAGTAGCCCCTGACCTGCAGGACCTGCCTTTACAGTGCGGTGGGTCCCGCAGGGCGGGGCAGGCGGCAGGTGTCCTGCAGGTGGGCCTGAGCGGCGGGGCAGCTAAGACAGAGCCGCTCCCACCGCCCTGTGCGGCGCTGTTCCTTACGAGGGCTCCATTCCAGGGTCTGCGAGTCAGGCCCAGACGTGTTTATGGATCACCACGACTGTCTGCAGACTTCCAAGGCGGGTTGAGAAGCCAGGAGCACTAGAGCCAGCGCCTTCGCGGAGATGCGGCTTCAGTCAGACGTGGCCCCGCACTCCCGCCTGGCCGACTCTGGCACTGGGACGGCGCTGGCTGTGGGCGGGCGAGCCGCTGGGTGCCCGTGTTGCTGTGCTAGAGCTCTGTCGTGTGGGTTGAGGTCACCAGGGACCAAATTTACATTTGTGTTTGATACTTTGAAGTGTATCTGTAACGTTTACATGTTTTTTTTAGGCACAAATATTTAAGCATGGAAAACGTGAAGACTGTTTACCCTATGGTAAGCTTTATCTTGTTCATGTGTCGTTAAGACAGGTCTTCCCACATCTCCCCCACCAGCCCCGCGGGTCTAGGGTGTGCAGCACCCCACTGCTGTTTGACTTGGTCACGCTGTGTTGCCCAGGCCCGTGGCAAGCTCAGATACTCAGAGAGAAAGTGAGAAAGCAAACCGATAGTCTGCTTTGAAAAAATTTTTCCTTGTGGGACCAGCAGTTAGCGTAATGGCTATGTTGCTGGACGCCCACATAATCAACCGCAGTTTGAGTCCCGGACCTGGTGGCTTAACTTATGCCGGGCACGTATGCATGCGTGCCCAAGATCCCAAGAGGAGAATGGAGGAGAAGGGATTGCAGCATGGCCATCCCCCCTGGGATGATTTCTTGCTTTCTGTCTGTCTGTCTGTCTCTGACTTTCTGGCGAGTGTACATGCCCTCTAGCATAAACCTCTCCAAAAAAAGAAAACAAATGTTTTTCTTTGTGGAAATTTCCCACTGCGTGTGAGGGAGAGGGTGTAGTATAACCCACATCTCCAGCAGTGCCTCATGGCTTCATCCTGGCCACCCTGCCCGTCTATACCTATACCGCATCTCTGACACATGACCTCGCTCTCAGCGCCTGCAGGGCCAGCTGTCTGCGGACATCAGGCAGCGGTGGCTACTGCCCTCCAGGGACGGGGACACACAGTTTCTGTTGGAGTTCAGACCCACCTTGAAATCCAGCAGCCACCTCCTACGTAGAGACCCCATCTGCAAGGCTGTCTTTCAGGCCCCTGTCCCCATCTAGGGCTCAGCCTCTTGTCACCCCTGCATGATACTGAATGATTCCTGTGCAAAGCCCCCATCACCCCTGCAGAGCCCCCGCAAAGCACGCAGACTACAGGAGCCCTGGCCCCTGCAGAGCCCCTCCTGGTTCCCAGCGTGTCTCTGGTCTGTCAGGCCTTGCAGGTCTTGGAGCGGCGTCCCCTGCTCTCAGGGCTTGGCCGGCCTGCGCCAGCCTCTGTAGTGGCTGGGGGGGCGGGGGTTGCCCCAGCCTCTGTAGTGGCTGGGACTGCGGCTGCTCTTGGTCAAGGACTGGGATGAGGGGTCTGGGGTGGGACTTGGGTTCCTGCCAGTGTAGGCATTGCCTTACGGGGCCTCTGGAGATGCTGTGGTTTCAGGACTGCAGGTGTTGATGCAGGTGGTGCAGCTGGGTGGGTCTCCTGTGACCTCCCCGCCATGCTGAGTCTGTGTGCTGTTTGCAGCGGCCACTGTCCTGGAGTGCCTTGACCGCTGCAGACTTCCGGAGAGCAGCCAGACCCTGCTGCGCAGACTGGGGATCAAGCTGGTGCAGCGGCTGGGGCTGACCTTCCTGAGGCCCAGGGTGGCCGCCTGGAGGTAGGTGCTGGTGCAGCGGCTGGGGCTGACCTCCCTGAGGCCCAGGGTGGCCGCCTCGGGGTAGGTGCTGGCCGCTGCAGGGCTGTCTGTGTTCAGGAGCTGCCAGAAGCACTGGCAGGTACAAAGTGTCTTCTGACGTCTCCCCTCTGTCCCTGCATTTCTGACCTGAGGGAATGGTGTTCCTTAGGTCGTTTTGGCCACCCCTCCCAGGGGGAATGACTGATGCTGGATGGTGAAGAGAGTGTGCTGTGTGGCTCAGGTACAGCGCTTTGTCGTTTGGGCTTGCGGAGGGAATGCCCCGTCTCCGTCATGGGTCATTCTGAGTTATGGGCTTCAAAGAAACCAGCCTCGGTGGTTCGGGTTGAGTCAGAAGATGGACCGTCCTTTCCTGTTTTTTTTGTCTTCACTGTCCTAGGCGGCTTGCCCTGATGAGCGGGTTGATTGTGAGCTCCTGAGCCTGCTCAGGCTCCCCTGGGCGGACGTCTCGATGAGCAGCAGGAGTTAGTAGTGTGCTAAGGGCCCATTTGATTAGGTCCATCTCAGCCTTGTCCTGAATCACAGCAGATTCCAGAGAAGCATGTTGTGTTTTGCTGAATGTTCCCGAATCCTTCTGGGTGCTCAGTGTGTAGCTTGTCCCGTAAGGAGTCGTTTATCAGAGAGGGTGCCTGGGGCATGTTTCCACGATGCCCTGGAAAATGGTCCCAGGCTCTCCAGAGGAAGGGAGCCGACAGGATGTGTATGTGCAAGGTTTGTGCGGGGCGAGGCAGCAGGTGGGACCCAGGAGAGCCTGTGGGTCTCCCTAGTCGGTGGGCTGGAGGCCGCGGAGAGCTGCCGTCCCACCCAGAGGCCTGTCAGGCAGGGTGGGCTCCTGCTCTGCGAGGTTGGCCCTCCAGAGACGTCGCGTCCAGCCTCAGCGACGTGGGGCGGGGGCGTGCTGACGTGGGCGCTGAGTCACACCCTCCCTGAAGCACCGGAGGGTGCTTGACAGACATGCGGGCCCGGTGCGCCAGTAGGCCTGGCCTGCGGGCAGGCGTGGCGGGCCGCCCCTGCTCTCTTTTTCGGCTGTGG